TGGAAATAGTGATGTGCTTAAAGTTGAACATAGATTTAAGCTGGCACAGTAGTCACAGGGAATTTTTTTCAAAAGGTGTTTTCATAAGTTCTAGCATACAAGCCAACCTGTATCTTCAGTAATTATAGCCTCCCTATTGAAAATCCCCCTGTAATTTCAGTTGGATGTCATTTTTCACTTCCTGCCCTAGATAGTTATATGTTATTTTAAGAAGAACGTATCAACAGAGCCACACAACAAAGACATGAAAGAAGTAAAATATGAAATCTCTAAAAGAAATGATGTTCCTATTTTGGGGGCAAAAGGGCAGGAACAATGGAATCAGTGAATTTATATTTTCTCACAGGCTTTGCTGTGTTATTAAGATGTAATAATAGTTTGAGCCCTTTACTTTACAGGGTAGTGCATTTCTATCTTCTTTAGTTTACCAACAGGCTGAAACAGTAATTCAAACTGAAAAGTCAAGTTTTGACTGTCTAAATGAAAAGTGAAGACAGATGTCTGGTCTTTTGCATGGAACTTAATATTCCAGTTCTTGCAAACTTGTCAAAATAAGTGGTAATTTATATCTTTAGAAAAAAATGTACAAGAGATGGGAATCTGTGATAAAAATAGGTCTGAAAAAAGAATATATATATAATATGTACGTGTATAATATCAAACAATACTTTAATCTAGATTATACGTATTTAATATTATATGTATATTAATATTCTATTTACTTGATATCTCTGATTATCATTAAGCACATACATTGCTTAATTTGGTAGATTTCTTCGAGTCATTTTCCTTACTCCATTAATTGGCATGTTCTGTTCTAAAAAGCTCTAGCCCCTGAAGAGCATAGCTTTTACAGTCAGTGAAACTATGCTTTCCTATGTATTCTTTATAAACTTGAAAGTCTAAAGCTGGAATTAAATTGTTTGTTCCTTGTCACTGGTGTACAAATGGCTGTGTAAGATGCAGAAAGTTGATTTCTGTCCCAAGGGGCTTAAAGTCACACAGTAGTCAGCGCTGTTCCTTTTGCCTCAGTCTTGAATTTTGGAGTTCTTAGTGGATTAGTCTTGTCTGAATGCTGACTGTAAGAAGTCAGTTAGATGGACTGAAATAGCTACCCACTAAATTATCCATATTGCTTTATCTTACGCATCAGCCCTCACTGTTTAGATTCTAAACAGTGAACTAAATGGAACTTGGAGAAAATCCTAAGTGTCCTTAGTTCATACTGATAGTATGCTGAAATGTTATATGCCCATTCACATTACTTCTGCAATTTAATACGTGGTAAGGGACTGTCTTGACCTACTGGCTTAAATAAATTCATATTTCTTCTTGAAGTTCTTGTTGGCAGGAGAAAGTATATGTCCCCTGGAGATGGACTACATGTCCTTTTAAGTCTTTTCTACCTAATTTCTAGGATTTCTATGAACCTAAATCCAATTTCTTGGCACTAGATGTAGCAGTCTTTTGGATAAGATTAAGAATAGAATCACTCTAACACTTGCTTTTATCCATTCATCCACCTTTCCTTACAGTGAAAGGATAATGGAATCATTGATAGAGTATGTGTTTTACTTCTCCCATTGCTCTGCATATTGTTTTGAATAATTGAAGAATTATTATTTGCCAAGTTTAACTTTCATTTGCTTGTTGCTGTGCCAAGTACTAAATTTACAAGTCTCTTAAAATAACTTTCAAATCATATGAAACTTTTCCCTACATATTAATTACACAGAGAAGGAGGAATTCTGAGATACACTGTAATGAAGACAGTGAAGCCCAAGCAGTTTATCTCCTTAAATAATTCAGAATTCTGCCCATCCTTCTGCTGATACACAGAAGCAGTTATCCTCTTGTAGTTGTTACCAGGGTACCTTTAATTAGAGTACCTTTAATTCTCACTGCCTGAGAAAGGGCAGAATTACCTTTTGTTTTAGAAACAAGTTTTCTCAGACAACCTAGGATTTATGCGCTTCTTTTTCTAGTACATAATCATGCCCTGAATTTTTTTTTCTGAAAATATACAGTATGTAAAACAAAAGAACATCACCTAGAGGGAATACTGTTCCCTGGATAAAATATCTGTGATGGATGTTATAAATGAGTCAGGAGAAGGTGATTAATTGCCACGTTAATGCACCTATATACAATAATGCTCAATTCATTATTAAGAGCCATGTAACACTAATGTACTGTTGCTTTCACAAATTATCCATTTGTTACCCAGGGAGTCAAACTTGAATACTGTGTGCAAGATCTCCATGCATGCCTTTGCTTTTTTGATCCCCATCTCACAGGGCAAGAATGCAAGCAATTTGTTGTCATGAGAGGTGGCAGCAAGAGGAGCTGTATGTCCGTCTAATGCAACAAGAAAGCCTCCAATAGGAATTTCCATCTGCTTTTCATAGTGAATTTGCCTACATGTAATTACTATGCTTAGTGATGCTTAACTAAAGGTGAATGAAAACGTGTTTGCAATTGAATGTTTTCTAAGACCTCCATTGCTATAAGGATGTGTGAATAAATTGAATAAGTTTGCAAAAACTTTCATGTTTTAAAGTAAGTCTTCTGAAAATCCACTCATTTTCCTGAATTCTGCATAAACTTTGTCTTCTGCTGAAATCCAAGGACCTCTGCAAGCTAGTAAAAAAAAACAAAATCAGACAATCAATTTGGTTAGGACTTTGAGGGACTTAGTGGAATATTTTGGAGTCCTGTTGCAACTGCTGGCTTGTTTTTTTTCCCCCCAGTTGAAGATGGCCTACCACCGACAAAGCCCTGCAACGTTTAGTGTGAAGCTTTGACTTATCCGCTCCTTCTGACATGGAACTCTGTGATCCAGGTGAGTCTGCTCCCTAATAAGCTGAGGAAGAAGAAAGTCTTTCTAGGAAGATAGCATGCTTCATAGCATCATTAGCAAAATGACCTGACAAAAGTTAAGGAGAGCAACCAGCTATTCGCCGACCTCCTGTCAGGGCTCAATATAAGTAGGCCATGTGGTTATCCTTAATAGGGCCAGGCACTGTGAGCTGAAGACGCTTAATCAAGGACGAAAGGAAGAGGAGGAAAGTGTACCCCTGAGATACTCCTGTGCTGGGTGATACTAGCTTGGCAAAACAATCTCAGAAACTTGAACTCTGGTTGCTCCTCAGATAAGTAGAAGAGCTCTTACTATGTAATGCTTTGTAAGGGCAGGCTTTCAAATATGAACTGCTTAAATTATACATGCTGGAACACACACTTTCAGGGAACTTTTTCATATAACACAGCTACACAGAGGAGCTTTTCTTCTCCCCTGATCTGAAGTGTCTGTGACCATCTGCAATCAGAAAATCAACCATGACTACCCATGGTAGGAAAGGACTAGATCAGACTTTTAAGACCACTACTTCTGTTGTACTTACAAGTCTTGGATTTGAAGGAAATGAAAAGGAGCTGCCTTAAACACTCACACTTGCATATAAATGTGGGTTTTATAAACATAAAAGAATCATCTCAAATTAGAAGCAACAGCCTAACGCTACTGTTGAATCTTTTTTGTTGGTGTATCTTTTTTTTCTTATGTCTTTATAAGTCTATCTAAATATTTAAATTGAAAATAGGAAGTTTAGGAGCTTACTGTTGGAAATGTGTGCTGCATTTCCATCAGTGCTCAACATCAATGAAATCAATGAATTTGCACAGTGTGAGTTTTATGTAAGAAAGAATATGGTCCAGGGCTAAGTCCTTTAAAGCTGAATAAGAGGAACTGAGGTAATTCCTTTTAAGGGTTTTAAGCCACTATGTTTTTGACATTAAAAATGTTTGTTGAAGTAAGTGCATATTTTCAATGCCAGAGGAATGTGGGGTTAAATCCAAAATCTACCTGTTACTGACTAGATTATCGGTATGAACATATACAATTTTATATTACATTCAAACATCAGATTTAATTCCCCAGTTTTTACACCTTACTGCATGTGGTGCTTGCAGCTCTGAATAATGTTCTTATTTGGTTAGATTTATACACATACTAAAAGGAGAAGTAACTGCAGCTGTACGGTTGTCGGCTACAGAGCATGGCACAAATTGCAGGAATTCACAGTGTGGGCTCTGCACAGAGCTATGCAATTCTTTAAAATACTATGAATAATTCTACAAAACACTGCAGGATCCAGCTCTCTCAACTGCATTCCAAGAGTCCTGAGTCCTTTTGGAATGCATGATTGGTGTGTATGTGTCATTACGGGTCAGACTGTTGTGGAGGAAGAGGAGTTGCATATATGCTGGATCTCAGACATCAGTCATGGTGGGTTTGAGTCTCTTGCGACGCGGGTACAGTGCTCAGTGTTTTGTGTGGTGCGATACACCAACGATGACAACCTTCAGAAAGTAAAAAAGTGCTCAGAAACAGCAGCAGACCTCAAAGCAACTGCAGAAATCCCAAGAGGTTCCCTTCTTTATGTGGGGATGCTGCAAAAATGTTTTGTCATTGCAGTTCCCTCAGCACCTTCATAAACTTTACAAAGTTAGATGGCTTTTTCTTTGTTCTCATCACCATTCACCCTCCAAATGCTTCATTCAATCCTTCAGGTTAAGTGCCATTACTCTGACTTGTTGCTGCTACAAGTCTGCAAACCACACAGAACTGACAGAACTGCTTCTGGGTCCAGTTTCATTTATTAGTATTCCACATACTAAACCTTTTACCTGCAGATCCTAATGAATACTTCAGTTGCTAAGTCATCTTCCCCTTACTGTATTATTCCTAAATCAGCCATAAAAGTCGACTGCATAAGAGCATATATCTGCCAGCAGAAGCCTGCTGCTTTACACTGGCTGACCTGCAACAACGTGTGCAGCGTTCTCGGGCTGGACTGAGGTTCCAACACGGTGTCTCAAGAGCTGACGTTGCGATGCCGTTAGGGTAACGGCGAGGTGCCGTCCATTAAAGCCCATCCCCCTGCCCGCTCCGAGCCCTTGCAGGGCCGCGGCCGGCAGCCCCGCGGCGGGGCGCTGAGATGGCGCCCGGCGGGCTGAAAGCAGAGGCCGGGGCCGCGCGGGCGGAGCTTCGGGGCCCGCCCCGTTCCCTGGGCAACGGCGACGCCGAGCCCAGCAGCATGGCGGCGGCGGGGCAGGTATCCTCGCTCACTGCGTTTCGTGCCGCCAGCCCCCAGCCCGCGGGGCCGCGGCGGGCAAGAGGCGGGCAGCGACCGTGCTGTTCGTCTAGCTGTCCCCGCGCGTTGGCACCCTCTCTCTTTGCCTTGCTTCTCCTTGATCTCTTAATTTAAGAATTTAAGTGTCTTCACCAAGCTCCTGAAAGCTTAAAAAGAAAGGGTGAACGTTAAAATGCTTTTGGAGGATAAATGAAGGCAGTGTGAGTGTGTATTTCTGCGTGACCTTGTCACAAAAGAGCACATAGCAGAGAAGGCCACCTGCCCGAAAGCAGCCGGGGCCCTTCCTGGGCGCAGCCACCGCCAGGGTGTGTGCGTCGGTTGGCACCAGGCTGCCATAGCAACCGCTGGCACGAGAGCTTAATATTTAGGTTTCCTGAAATGAATAAATCCTCTGCTGTGTAGAATGCATTATGCAAACGCTTTATGAGAAACACAAGTGGTTCTCACTGCATTCTATCTATTAGTGTTATCTGTAAATACTATGGCTGTTGGGAGCGGTGAGCAAAAGGCCGCAGGGTGTGCAGTGTGGGAAAGGACAGGCTGTCCAAAGGCTCAGGGACACGAGTTAGCAGAGGGCTGTTAGTGTAGTATGGATAGGTTGTGGTTAGACTTATGATCTTTGAGGTCTTTTTCAACCTGAACAGTTCTGTGATTCTTTGATTCTATTGTTTGAAAAGTAGCACTGAAATTTTCCTCTATTACTTCACAGCTTTATAGAAGGATTCTTTATAGGATTTTTTTTTCATGTATTTTCTGTACTGAAGTTTGTGTGATACGTGATAGCACGCCTTTCTGAGAATTCCTGCTATCCCCTGTCACTTATTTTTATTGCAAACTGTGGATTTGTGCGTTTTTATTGTTATATTATTATTATTATTTTATTATGATGATGATATAGCTTTCAATTTTGGCTGAAGCTAGCATGTTCTGTGCATAAGCCATAGCAAACATGTTATTTTGCCACTGTATTTGCCTCTTGAGAAAATCTTGAGAAAATTCCTTTTGAATTAAAATATTTTTATAACTGCTCAGACTCCAGCAGAAATCGTATTACAAAACCTGAATGCCGATCTCAGCAATTCCTGCTGCTGTTTTCTTTTAAAAAACGCTTTCTGTTCCATGTAGCAGTCTGCAGCAGTGAAAAACATTAGTAAATTTGGTAACTCATATGCCTGAGCATTTGGATTGCACATGTTTTCTGAAATGCATTCTGTTATTAAGAGGACACCATCAGCCTCTGTAATGGTCCTCCCATACAGGCATTATGTTTTGCATTTGGTATATCTGCACTTTTCTCTTTTGAATACTGCTGAAATTAGTGATGCTGTTGTGTATTTCCTCGTTTGACAACAAAATAAATACTATGACTAAAATAGCAACTATTGATTTTAACTTCTTGTTATGGGAGCAGACAAATGGTTTGGTTTTTTGTTGTTGTTGTCTGTTTGTTTTGTTGGTGATGGTTTTTGTGTGTGTGTGTTTTTGTTGTTGTTTTTTAACATATAGGAACAGTGAATGCATTTCTGTTTCTGCCTTAACCATTAGGTAGACAGCTTCAAGATTTTCTGCTTCTGCTGAAGTATTTGACAGCTTGATAACAAAATGCATATAATAATACAAATAACAGCCTGTGTTGCTATTTTTTTTATTCCCATTTTGATTAAAGTTGTAACTGATATGCAACACTGTTTCAGGATACATCTGTACTGCTGTCAGCAGTATTGCTCAGGCTGAGGTAGCTGAGCCAGCTTTAAATGAACCAGCTCAGTACTGGAAACTATCTGTCTGTGGCAGCAGAGAGTTCAGTCCAGTTTCATTTCCCCAGGGGTGAGGGCAGGAGGATCTCGTTCCTTACGCTTCAGGTAGCTGATATAATTTGAGAGAGCTGGCAAGGCATTCCTTTGTGAATATGTTTTTGAAAGTCAAGATTTTGCAAAGCATATTGTTGTATTTTCAAACAGATGCAAATAACGAACATCTTCAACCAGAGCAGAGGTCTCATCCCAAAGGACAAGCCTGCTTCCTTTCAGGAACTCTATTGCTAATTTCCATTTTTGTGTTTTAATGTCTTACTGCTCTGGAGAGGCCCTCACCAAAACTGCAGATGCTGGAGTGGTTATTTTTAGAATTCTTCCCCACCCAAATACAAAGCTTTTTGCAGCTTGCTGTTTATTACTCTGCTGTTATTATTTTCTGTTTCACAGTGATTTGTAAACACTGGCTGAGGAATTCAAGGAGGATCTTGTTCTTTTGTTTCAAAAGATCTGATTTGGTATTTTGATTTGATGATGTTGACAAGAGGTGCCCAAAGCACTTGGAGTGACATATTGAACAGCTTGAAATATATTATACATTCAGAACAGCTAGAGATTATTTGAAGGAAAATAAAGGATAAAGGGAACAAATAATTCTCTTGTAGTAGTTTATATTTACATTGGTTAAGTCTATTGCTGACAATATATATTGGCAGAGGCTTTTTTTTTTTTTTTTTTTTTTTTCCTCCCCCAACACATGAGGATAGTATTATCAGAATGAAATCACCTTGGATTGTTTCAGTCAGTCACAGCTGCTAACAGTAAAAGGAAAGGTAAATTTATCACCATATCAGTGAACATGCAAAAAAACAATTTCCCTTTGATTTTTCAGTGGTGGTTAAAGACAGCCATCAAAAGGCAAAGCACAATGGTGATAAATTTTTAGTGGGGGTGAGGTTCTGCCCCAAAATAATTTTTCCATAAATTCAGGATCATTCAAGTTACTTTAGGTCTTTCTCTGTTTTTGTTTTTGTTTTGTTTTTTTTTTTTAATCTACAGAGGCACTTCTAATTTTAAAAAATTATCTTCTAAATAATGTAATTTCTCTCCCACAGCTGCTCACCAGTCCTTTAGAACTGTATTTTCTATTACATGATACCTGCACTTACTATGGACAGTGTTGGCACAAATGCACCCTAAAAATTAAGAACTTGAGGGTAGGAAGGGGTGTTGTTGCTATGGAATAGTTACAGAGAGTAGGTGATGAAATGTACAGGGAGCTTTCACCTTGCCATGTAAAGTGATGGATTTTTATGTGCATATTATGGAGCTTCATCTGCAATACTGAGTTACAATAACTCAAGTCTCTCTTAAGTTTAAACCACAAGCTTTAGTTAGATAAATACTGTGTTTCCAAGGCTAAACTCTTTCAATGTTTTGAAAGGAACTATAGGAGACTGTACAAAGTATGTGGGTTTTTTTTAAATAATTATTTGTAATCTTACATATTCCATATATTGCTGCAATACAAATGTATATGCTAAGACTTCTGCGAATTTTCCTAAAGGCCCTTTTTGTTATTTGTAATTCAAAGAATGAGATGGGCCTTAATGATAGCATGTTTGGTGTGCACAGCCTATTGCTATAGTGTAGGTGGGAAAGCTTCATGCTATAGTAAACCAGCTACAGGCAGGAGGAAAATACTTTTTGGTCAGGCCTTTTCTGACATGATGAACATGGTCTGATGCCTTTTAAGAAAAAGCGAGGGGTCTTTTGTATAGATTCTGGAAATTCAGATATTTTCCAGAGTATTCAACTTTTTGCCTGCTAACCTGTCGCTTAGAGCATGAACATAAGAACTGGGAGGCAAAAAAAAAAAGAAAAAAAGAAAAGACTACTGGTGAGCCTGTACTACTGGGCTACGAATGTGGCTTTGAATGTTGGAGATGTGGAGTGCAGGGGTTGGAAACTTCTTTTCTCTGCTTGGTTTTCCAATCCCTTTGTCCCTTCTGCCTACACCTGGCTTATAGCCATGGATGAGAAGCTGGAAGATTATCAGAACACAAATCGTGTGCCTTGAACTTTCTTAAACTTTTTTTTTTCTTTAATCGTGTCAAATGCATCATCTTATACTGTTCATCTGGGGTGATTCTTGTGAAATGGTAACATTTTAATAAGTAAGATTTTAACTGATGAACCAGTGAACTGTATGCTGCATATATAATGGTGCAAAAAGATATAGCATCCTATGCACTGGACATCCTGAGAGAAAGAGATGAACTTCCTAGGAATCAGTATCAGTTATTCTTTTAGTTCTGCCCTCACTGCTTCTAAAAAAATCCATTTTTCAATGGATTTGTAACACCAGCAGTCACTTCAGTACAGCATTCCTATTTTTCCTAATTGTTCAAAACTATCTGTCAATAATAGTATAATGTTACTATGTTGAGCTACTTATTCATGTTTTCCTAGCTTGGGCTGGAAGCCTCAGTTATATCAATAGTGCTGACTGCAAAAGTGTTGCTGCTTATACTGCATCAATTATTGCTTATAAAAACAAACCAGTGCCATGTTCCTCACTGTCTGCAGGAAGCCTTCGTTTACTTGGTTCTTGTTGTTCTAATGGGGCATTCTATCTGAGACTAACTTCCTTGCAGTTAGAAATGATAACTTTTAATACTAAAGTGCATGGGACAGTATTCGTGCTTAATTAGAAAGAAAAACTAGTTTGTCCACTACATTTCATATTGGTTGCTCTCAGCCTTGTTTCATCAGCCGTGCATGTAATTCAGCTTGTCCCAGAGATTTAGGTATATTTTGCAGTTCAGCAGCAGCAGGGGGAGTAGTGTAGCTTTCTTTGGGGGCTCTCCTTGACCAGTGCTAGATTTAGGTGGCAATTAGCCCAGAACAATGCTTTTCAATCTAATATCAGCTCACGTTAGGAAATCTTCCACTTCTTTCTCAAACTGAGGTAGAAATGTTGTTCAGGCTTCACTTCGCTGTGCCTCTGTAAAGCCCCACAGGTTACAGATACACTTCCTGTGAGTTAATTATTTTTGGGTTTTATCCAGGATGTAACCAACATCCAGGCAGGGTACAAACTGTTAACCTCTATTCCTTGTGCTTTATGTTGCAGCTAAATTTTTCACTCATCTTGTTGTCCACCTATGTAGACTGCTGATAAAGCCAGCTTGGATATAAGCATTTGGTGAAAAGTCATTTCGCAGAGCAGTCCCTTCTTAAAACTTGAAAACACTTTTGGGTTGTTTTCCTTTTATATAATATTCAGAGCTCAGCAGGACTTAGTTAAAGTTGCTAAAGTGATGCTATACATAGTTTTGAGCTTTGCTAGGATTGTGTCAGAGTATAATTGGTTCTTCTTTAAATAACTACTGATAATCATTATCAGCAACATATCATTTTAACAGCCTAGATTGTCCAGGCAGATAGATGTCAAATGTAATTTTGACTCTCTTTATAGATGATGATTTTATAATGTGCTTTCACACTTCATTCTATTACCTAGATGTTATATAGTAAAAGTTATTTTTTCCAGTGTTTTATATATTTCATAGATTTCTTACCAAAGTCCACGATGAAGTGATTTTGGCCAGTGACACACACTAAATAAAGTATTGTCAAATATATTTTAGAAGACCACTGCATAGTTTTTTCAAGATCAGTTTGCTATCCCATGTGACATGTGCACCATCGTATTTCTGGCAAGGAGCTGTTTTCTGTTCTGTGGATACACAGACCTACTCTGAAACATTACTCTCAGATTCTTCTATGTGCATCACTGTATTGCAACAAACATGTTGGAGTTTCTTGGCCTAAGGAAGGAGCAAATGTGGACAGTAAATTCCCAAAGTGCAATCAAGAAGTATAGGGGGAAGGTCAAATAGTATGGTAATGTGCATGTATGCCCATAATGCCTTAAGCATAAATTGAGTATAAAATTTAGTGACTGTACTATCCGCCAAATCTAGATTCTTGGACAGTTTTGTACATTTACATTTCTGTTGTTTTTACTTATAAGTTAGTGACATATTGTGAGCAGCACAAGATTGAATTACATTCCCACGTGAATTTAAGATAGAAATACTATTTTCCATATATCTGCCTAGTGAAAATGTTTTAGGGCATTTTGTTGCCACTGTATGATTATAGGTATGTTACATTTTTGGCATTTGTTGTATTAACCCCTTGCCTACTGCCTCAAAATCAAAATGTTATTTAGATAAGCTACTGACATAATTAAATACAACTTTCAAAATTATACTCATATATATGTATGTGTGTGTAGGAAGAAGACCAAGATCAGGATGCTGTAGGTGGACAGAAGACTATTAATCATACATTTCTTTCTTTTTCGCAAATTACTGCTTTGTCAGAACAAAATGTAGAAGGACTTCAAAAGTAAGTGGCAATGTAACAATACTAGAATTAATGTTATCATGAAATAAAATTTGTGTACAAATTGTTAGATTTATTTTGTGATAGCTACCACGTTAATTGTTCAGTTTAAATATGTGATTTTAAATGTTTCATGAAAGGTGGGAAGAAATGTCATTCATCTCATACCTACTTTGTTTTAGTGTTTCCCATATCTTTTGATTTTTCTATTTTTTTATTATTATTTGATAGGTACTTCACACTGTTTGGTTTGTGGGTTTATATTCTTTTTAAATATCCTATATATGAAATACTAAGATGTAAATAAGCACAGGCCAATACTGAGCATTTCCATAAGTCTCACTTAGTCTTTTGCTAAAGCATTTAGGATGCTTTAATACAAGCTACTGAAAAAAAATCAGAAAGGTTTTAAAAGTTTAGAAAGGGATGGAAATGTGAAGAGGTAGGTAGCTGTTATGGTGCACTGGGGAAATAGGAGGCAGCCAAAGACATCTGAAGTAAGCCCATGTTGTCTTCATTGTAGCAAAACTCTCTCTTCTTATTAATGCTTAGTAGGAGCTAAGTTTAGGAGACCCGAGTTCAGCTTGAAACCTTATACTTATATTTTTAGGATGGGATTTCCAGAAGTGCCCAAATAATTTGTGAGTGCTTGTCTCCACTGGCAAGTTCTTAACGAATTAAAAGCAAAGGGCTGGTGTTCTTAATGGGTTTTAGGGGAGAGAACAAAGCAAAACAGCATACTGTCCGAATACACTGAGTGTTTGAGAGATTAAAATATGATTCTCAAAATATAATATTTCTCTGTTTTAATGACAAAAAAAATCTTTTTAAAGGAAAACTGGAAAAATTATTTTTCCCTATAAACAATAAGATTTCTATTTATTTATTATTTTCTCTTGACTGATGACCCGTTTCTTCAGAGGAGGTTGAAGACACAACCATACAACTCACCAGAGACTAAAATATACTTAGTGACACAATTTATTGTGAAAAGTTTTCATGAAGATTAAAAAGGAAAGCATTAAAAGATCATATGTTCCTTTTTTTTTCTGTCTCAGCTGATCAGAGGAAGATGTGTATTAATTTATATACACACTTTACAAGTGAATCATGAAGTATGTGCTGCATCAAACGGAAAGGGATAGTTCTGGGGAATTTTAACACCAGAACAGAAATTTTGTTAGTTTATCACAGTGCATCACTTCTGTACAAAAATGGAGGCCACAGCAAAGGCTGGAAAATCAGAAGAGATTATTTAATTCAGTATGAGATTTTTGAAGTCTTATGTTCTCGTATATATTGGAGTTCTATACTCTGTAGGATTTGAAAGCCTCCGTGGAGGAAGAAATAGCAATCAATGTAACTAAGAAATCTAAGTCACCCATAATTTCCTGATCATTTATAGATACTGTTGTCAGTGACATGCTTTGCAGAATGTTGAAAAGATGAGTTCTGGCATTGTTAGCAGCATCACAGAAGATCTAAATCCCTGAGAAGCTCTGATTATGAAAACACAGAGTTGGCAGAGGCTTCAGAAAGAGAGGATATGGACTCTTTCAAACCTTGGAAAGTTCAGCTGGCCACATTCCACTTCTATTTCAGTACATAGTTAAGTGTTTTTAACCAGCTTGAATGTGTACAGCAGTACAAATTTGTTATGCAGAACAAAAGAATACATGGTTTTAAACAAAACTGATTGGATTATATGCTTTACTTTCTTAGCTGTTCAGGCTTTAATTAAAAAACAACAACAGCAGTCATTTTATTTGACAGTGTATCTCTACTAGCCTGGTGAAAACCCTGAAAAAGTAAGTTCTTTATGAGTAGATCTGAGATTAATGCTGTTATTAGGAAGGAATGAGAAGCAGGAATGAAAACACTCCTATATGGAAGGAGAAACTGATCATAGCTGGGACCTGTTTTGTCAGGTATTGCTAAGAAACCAAAGGCTGCTCTAATGTAAAACTTCACTATCTAACAATATAGCTAAAGTTACATTGGAAGAATTGCAAACTGAAGTCCTAACCCTGATCCTCTAAAATCTTTTCATGTGGAAAAAGGCATATAATTCTTATAAAATACTTGGTTAATTCCACAATTGGACAGAGCAACATAAATTTATCAATAACGGCATGGTCTCCTAGAAAGGAATGGATTTTTCTCTAATCATTGCTTTTTTTAAGTAGGCGAAAAAATTTCCAGTTTACCAGAAAAATAGGATGAAACTTTTCCCAAATGCCTTGACAATTATGAAAGTGGAATACAAATTTCTAAGTATGTTAGGTGCTTTAAGTAATTTTATATTATTTACTTTATTTCTAAATTATAATTTTACTTCACAATCTGCATGAAAAATAATGACCAAAGGGAAACAAGATCTTTTTAATATTATAAACTTATCTCAAAACAAGAATGTGTGACTAATTGTGTCATTTCACTCACCAAACCCCTTCTTCAACACTTACTTTTCTTTTTGTGTGCATTTTGCATGCATCTCTTTGGGTTTTTTTCATCTTTTTATTTCATTAGTGATATCTTTACACTTAATTACTGTCTGTTGAAATTTATAGTCGCTTATTTACTTATTTCAGTTGTTGTTTTTTTTTCTTCTGGTCAACAGTGTTCATATCTAGAAATAGATGAAGCAGAGTTCCTGTAAAATATGTACATGTATACATGTAATATGGTCATAATAGATATATAATCATACATTAAATTTTGAAAGTTTACAAGTAGAAACTCTGTTCTTTTACTCTGATATCTCTTTCAGAAAGCTGGCAGAGTTTCTGAATTTTAAACAATTAAAGACATCTTTGAAGGAAGCTATTCTGCTAGACTATTATACTGCAGGATTTTGTTGGGCAAAAGAAATGAATTTCAGTCTCATGCAGATGTCACAATACATGGATCTCTTAAACTTCCTGTTAGAGAACCTCAGTGGTAAGTATAGTTATAAAGTTATAAAATAAATACACCTGAAGTGGAAGGCAAGAATGCTTTCCAATCATTTTAATGAAGTGGTTTTTAACTGCAAGTATTGGTAAAATGATTTGTTTTCCTCTTGAATACTGTTCCTTGTACTTGGTAATAATTTTCCTCAAAAGACATTAAACTTTGAGAGGACTGTAGTCTGTTGAGCAGAATGTCTCTCAATCTTTGTACAGTATGTGCTAGAAAAGGAAAAGGCCCTGAAAAGATCTTATCGTTAGCTTGTTAAAATAAATAATAATTGCAGTAGAGTGAGAGCAAAGACCATCTAAATTCCAGTGCCAGCTCTCTCAGTGACTGTCTCACCATAGCCTTGGGCACATTTCTCTGCTGTTTGAGATATTCAGTACATGCTATAGAATTACAGCAGGTGAATAATATGTATTTTGTCCTTGGAGGTGAACTCTCAGGCAGCTTTCTATACGGCAAATTCTGCACTTTGGGCACAAAATGTATGGGTTAACTAAAGAATAACGAGGGAAGTATACTGTCATCACTGCTGAAGTTGAAAAATTACAATGGAAGAAGTTTTAGCTCTTGTGGCTATGAGGAAATTTGCAAAAAAGCCTGTATCTTGAGTCTGGTGGGAACAAAATATCCAGAAAAAAATTGCAGCAGCTTCCTCTCAAAACCCCTTTTTCTGAGATCACAGCGCTTACTTCATATTCACTTTGAAGGTAATTATGTTGAAAAGAGTCCATCCCAAAGGAAAAGTGAAAGGACTCAGTGGATCCATTCAAAGTAAAGATGAATATTTAAAATCAAGCCCTTAATAATTGTTATACTCTTTCATTGTAGTTTAATTCAAGTACCTTTTCGTTCTTGGAATTTTGACAGAATACGTATATGCTTTATGATCATTGGAATTCCAGTTGTCCTTCCTGTCTCCAGTGAGAAAGTATCTTAACATGTGCTAACTATATTAATATAACAATGGAGAATAATGGAAACGCGTCACAATTTAGTTTTATGAGACTGTGATGCACGCGTACTAGACTGGCTGGTAACACAATGGATTATTAAAGATGACTTACATTTTTCAGGATCTTTACTCTGGCAAATCTTTAGGTCTTTGATCTGAAATTTTCCGTGGCAATGACTGCCTCAGAGCAGTTCAGCAGGCTTCAAAACAAGGCAGAGGTGTCCCAAAAAAGTAATGCCTTATTTTGAGGTTGGCTATTTATGTATGTATGTATTTATTTTCCCAAACAGCTCCACTACCCCTACACTTCAAAGTGTAAAGCAAGTATTATGAATTTGGTTTTTGCTGGCCTCTGAAAATCCATTCATATATAGCTAAGATTCTAAGGAAAGAAAATGCAGTTTGTAAAAGCTTACAAGAGGCTTCTAATAGTTTTTTTCTCATAAAATTTCATTTAAAATTCAAAATTTCTATCTTACAAAGTATACTATAGCCCACCCAGGACTGAGGTAAGTTTCCTTGTGTTTATTGTTCTCAGCTGGTGCAACTAATAGTGAAATGCTAATGTCTTCTAAATTAATGGCCATTTTCTTTCCCTTTGCTACAGTGTACTCAAACAGCCTGGAAATTTAAGCTCATTTGAACATAATAGCATGGAATGGAAAGAATAAAATTAGACAAGGAAGGTAGTGGAAACTCATTTGAGTCTGGTAACAGAGAAAGTTTCTAAACAGATGTTTAGAAACTTAAGACTGTGGTTGATTGGGTGAAGAGAAACAGTTCGAGAGCCAAGGCATCTTTGCTGCCTGCAAAAGGGTTTCTTATAGAGAAAGAGGGACAGAATAGGAACTGAAAACTGGACCCAGATGAACTACTTATGTGATTTGGGCTACCTTCTATACACTGAGGATAAAGTGATCCTTACTTCACAGATGTGTTGTGAAAGCCTTCCTAAGAGAAGCAATTGGGCCTGAAAATCAGATGTACAAGGAAAGAAAAAATTTTGACTAACTGGAGAAAGGATCTGGGCCTGTGTGCTGTGGCATCTCACAGTCTTGTTATCTGTCTTTACTTATCCACTAATTGTGATAGTTCTGTTTCTTTTTCTCATTTCCTATGGCTTAGCTTCCCTTTCTTCCACATTCTCTGTATTTCTTCCTAGTTATATTCTGCTGCCTCTGTTAATGAAAACTGAGGTGAAATTTTCAGGGTTTTGATTGCTGTATCACCAAAGGGCAAAACTATAAAAACCAGAGTGTTGTAATTTTTTTAATTTGTTTTCTGTACAAAGAACCAGGGAGCAGATCAGTAGAGAATTAAAGCAATAAGGAAAATAAATCTGTTTCACTGCTGGTGGATATTTCCCCATCTTCCATTCTAGCCATTTTGGACTTAAAAAGAACAAGTAAATTGTGTTTATAACTTTTTTTTTTTTAACTTCACAATTGCTCTAGTGATGGTGTACCCTTACATAAATTAGAAAAATGAGTCCTTTATCTTTAAATAGATAACACTGATGTATTTCAAGATTTTTCCCAAGGCATTTTATAAAAAGAATATAAATTTTAGTTCAGAACTGTTTTTGCATTTGTTTTTTATTTTCAAGTTAAAACTGTAAGATAATTATCTATTTTGAGAGGTACAAATGATGAAGCATGAAGATTAAGCATAGTCATGTTTAATGAATCATGACTGTAAGTATTTAAAAATTCAGTATCCTTTTAAATAATCTATTCCTATATTACTGTTTTATACTGTAAGGAATATGGTCAGAAGAGCAATATTTTACAGTACAGAAACAATAGTTGATTTTAAAGAAAGTTGCTATATTGTAGTAAATGCATCTTGAATTTACGTACTAATGTGTGGTTGTCTCTGCATACATAAAAGACCAACCTCTTAAGTCTTAAACATCTATCTGAGGACCCATCAGTGATTTTGTGATGGAATTTTAATTCATTTATTGATAAGAATAATGGCAACAGACAAAAATGTTTGACTGCTGTTATTTTTTAAGTTTTCACGTTACTCATAATATAAATACTTCAGAGTATGCTTTAAAAGATCCTACTATGTTTATACTTGTTTTTTTTGTTCCTTGGAATTACTTTGCAGACAAACATATGGCCTTAGAAGATAACATAAAGGAACTTGGAAGAGCAATGGCTGGAATAGGAGAAACTGATTCAGATAGAAGTGGTAACTTGGATATCTTCAGCATTGACCAAGCCAAAGCAATCATTGATTACATGAATATCAGGTACTACTCCAGGATATATTGTTTCTTATTCAAATGATTTAATGTTGTGGGAAATCTGATGATGAAATAAATTACAATTATTTAATTGAATATGTCCATAATGTGCCAATATGCTGCACACACAAAACTTAAAAAGTGGAAAGGAATGAAAAATTTAGAGTTTCATCTTGGTGTAGGATTATGCTGAAAATATTTGAGTTTTGATTCGAGAGATTTAAAGGAAAGGAGAAAGTGATGGATGGAGACTATTATTGCTTTTAAAGCTATTTAATTCTAGATACCAACCAGCTGAATAACATCCTAGATCTCATCTACAACTTTCAGTATTTCTGTGGTCCTGTTAGTTGCAGTGAACCTGTTAACTGGCTTATAGTTCTGTGCTTTATGGAATTAAAGCCATGGTAGATCTGTATGAGCAATGAAAATGTATTTCAAAGTTAGCCTAAGTCCACTGTCTACATGAAGAGATTTCTTGACAAGTCTCAATTTTTAAACAGACACAGAAATATATGAATTCAGGAATAATTGGTGATAATTAGAAAAAAATGAGTGGTTAGAGGGTAGCCAATCGCACAGCTCTCCATATAAGGTGTTACCTCTCTAGTAACACGTATATAAATTTTTCTCCTTTGAAGTACTGTGGTTAAGGAAGTGACTATAATCCTATACTACTGTTTCCTGTGCTGTATGAGGTGAACAGAATGGTCCCTCAACTTACTGTATTAGCCATGAATATCTGCAGCCAAGAAAAGATGGAAAATAGAAAAGATATGATTGTAACATTTGCTTATACACCATATTGTATTATAGCCATTTAGTCTATTTCTTGAGCAGAACAGTGGTGTTCTGTTTGTGGATTTTTGTTGTTGTTAGCGGTATTTTGGTTGGTGGTTTTTTTTCATGGAAGGTAAAAAGAACTTCAGGATTTTCCCATATGAAACGAGAGCATCTTTTTAAATGTCAAGTTTCTATATCAAGGCAAACCAATGTCCTGCCAAGAACAAACCCTAAACTAAAAGGAAAATTGGCATTTAAGATGTCTCATTCAACTTCTTCTACTTCTCCTTTCCTGTCTGTGCCTTTTGTATATTTATTTGGAACAAATGTTATTTCCAGATAGGATCTCTATGGCTCTTGCATAGATTATCTATTAAAAGAGATTTTATCCATGAAGTAAGTCCTCCACAGACTCAGGAATTTCATCCGAGAGGTGAGGTGCTCCATCCTACTACTGCTGAAGTAGTAAGTCAACAAGAATACAATCAGGATGCAATATTTTAGCAGCAGCATTATTGTGGCCACCAGACGTGGTATCATGTTCAAGCTGCTCAGAAGTACGTGCTGTTGCAAGGTTATGGATATGTGCACGTACATATAAATATATATGTGGATAAATATATGTATGTCCACAAGCTATTAAATGTATTGTATATATCCACTTTCTATAATCCATTATTTGAGTCAGTTGAATACTTTTTTCTAAAGATAAACTGAATCAGCATGATTTTTATGTAATTGGATTTTGAGCTTTATGAACTCAGTTGACTGAGTTGTAATAAAACTCAAATTAGTGTATTACTTCAGCATTTTTTTCTTATTCTTCACTCTTTTTTTTCTTTAATTTGAAATGATAAGTCTATAGCTTTCTTCTTCTACTCAAGATAATATGACACATTTTAGTTCGGATCACATTTTTACAGGTGAGCTATAAACCCATGGGATTTATAATGGAAATGGGAACAAATGCTTCACCACATCGGCACAAACTGTGTAGCAACTCTAATGATACCTTCAGGTTTGGTGGAAGGTGACAGTTATCATCTTTTTATCTTGTATCCTGCAGCAAACACACATCATCGTAGCTCTTGACATTTCTTTCAGGAAGCATTGGAGCTAGGAAAATATGTCATCATTAATCATCTTCATATTCTCATATGACATCATAAGTGGTTCTATTCTTAAAGATCTTACTTTGCATGAGTAAAATATTTTTTCTTTAATTGCTGAAAATATTGGCACAAGCTCTTAATTGTTCACAACAGATACAAACAAAAATAAAACATTTTACATAATTCCTGATGGAAGAAAGAAAACTGCACAGTGGTTTTAACATAAATACTGATGTATATTCGATGTGATTTGATTTGAAGGGCATTAAAGGGAGAAATTCTCTCGTTTATATAGAATTAAGGGGGCCCAGTCAAAACAGAGTTGTTTGAGAAAATAAAAATATATTCAGAAATGTCAAAAGCAAAGAAATATTTTTGAAATACTGTGAATTATGTCTACATGTAACACAGTCCATAGAGAATATCATAACACAGTTAGAAAGTCCAAGGGAAAGTACTGTTTTTCAGCTGCTCTCAATCTGGCTTCTTTCCATGGCACTGGAATAAATAAAAGAAATAATTTTAAAATGTTAGGTTCTATCAGTACAGTTTGAAATACATATATCTTGTGTGTCTGTGATATTCTTTTTTTTTTTTTTTTTTTTTTGTCTTTTTCAAAGAATCTCTATTAGATTTTTACCACAAATAGGCATGTGAGTGAAGGGACACATATAATTTCATGACTTTATCTGAGTCATTTCCACACAAACATAGTTCATAATCAAATTCCTGTATTTCCACCGAAACATGGCAGGAATTATTTGGTGAAATACTACAGTAAATATGTACTGCAAATGAAATGTCAAATACTGTAGCAACTTAATTACCTGTGTGCTTTGGGTTAGAGGAAGGTAACTTGCAGTTTATGATAGCCAAATTTCTTATTCAAGGTAGTGATCAAATTTGTTTTTTTAGAAATGCTAATTGGCTGAATTAAATGCAACTGTAGAATAAAACTTTTATATGGCTCTTAAAGAGCCAAATGTTCAGTGAAGCTGCCATAATACTTCACACAAAATTAAGAAATGCATCTGTACATATGTTGAAAAACGTCTGCACCCATTTGGGCACAAGTATATTTGGAAGTTTCATGGATGCATTTAACTAACTGTGCTGCAGAATGTGTAATTGTAAGATAGAAAGGCAGTGGCACCTTTGTGCTCTTTGAATTCTGAGCTGCACTCAACAGCTTCAAGGAGCACTGCTGTCTGTTAGTTGGCACTTCAGCACTGCTTACATTAGAGCAAATCATCTCTGGTCTGCAGCGTTTTGTGGAAGCTGCATGGTACTGTGACAGTGGCTGGCAGCACTGTGTAAGTAAAGGTGGTGATTCAGGGAAGGACCCTCAGCTAAAACAGTGTGTGCTGAACATAGACTCCCCGAGATGGTTTTCTCATTTCCTTCCAGAGCCAGGATTGGATTTCAGACACCTATATCCCAGCGCAACAGTCCCTCCCTTTGCAAGCACCTGTGCTGGGTGCATGGCTGTGGGGTGATGGAAGAGCCCCAGAGGTGTGGGGCAGCCAGCCAGGGTGGCAGCTGCAGGGGCTGGTTCCATAAGAGCCTCAGGTACCATCACGTGTCGAAGAATGGCCCATGATCAGTTTTGTGGCTGGATAGAGTACTGTAAACACATTTTCAATGCAAAAGCATGTATGAGCACATTTTTAATAGTATATTCCTGAAGTATTTCACTCAAAAAAGCTTGTTTAACTACTTTGTAGTCAACAAATGCTTCAAAACACTTATTGTTGACTTGGAGATGTTCTACCTGCTCTTCCTCCACTGCTTCTACTTTTAATACTTCGACCAGGATTTTGCGGTAACTTTTAAAATTACTTGCATTATGATTAAATTACTGCAGAATTTTTACTCTAAAGATCATATTTTTCTAGCATGTACTGTGCCTACCACAATATTGACTTTGATCTTTTGAAAAAGAAAAGAAAAAAAAGGAAAAACTTGGAAACTCTGTATTTGAGCATCGTACTTATGCTCCCAATAAAAAATTCACATATATTTCTGACCTAGCCATAGCATTATTCTGGCACTCTATTCAAGAGATACATAGCAAAGCAGGGAGGAGCTTCTCTGAAAGTATTCAGATAAAAATATAGCTTTAAAAATGTTGGTAGAAATGCTCTGACAAGGGACTGTCAGTGCCCATGTGTGCTGTCTTTGTACTGGCAGTTAACTTACAGACCAAAGGACTGTAGAAGCAGGGTGCTGCCTTCCTTTTGAGAGGTGACATATAAAATATAACTTAAAATATAAAAAAAACTTTGAAGGGACATATAAAATTAACATCCTGGTCCAGAAACAGTGGAAGGCTTAGGTGTGCAAGCATAGTGTTAGTATGGTATCCAGTATCTAGCAGCCGTGTCATTAGTATTAGGTAATTGCACACGTTGTAATAGTTACTTCACAGACTAATAGAGACACTGAGGTTGGAAGAGATGTGTGGAGGCCATCTAGTCAAAACCCAGCTGAAAACATGCCTCAGTATTCCAGATGTGGCCTTGCAAGTGTTGAGCAGAGAGGTACTGCCATGCTGGCTAGAAAAAGCCATACTGACACTCATGGGGGAAAAAAAGAATCAAAATAAGCCTGTGACCTATCCTTAACCACAAAGCATAGGAACCAGTTACTGACATTCTATGAAAAGCTTGCCATATCCTTCATGGGTATATCAGAGGAGTGTGATAAATTTAGAATCATTCTTCAACCTGAACTTGCTATGAAATTGTAGAGCTGTGTTTTAAATCATATGTCAGAATGACGTGACAGAAGCCAGAAGTTCTGCATTGTGATTTTAAGAGAAAAAAGTAATTGTAACAGATGGACTGTGAGAAAGTGAGCCTTTGATTAAAATCATACCATATCATTGATCATAAAGAAAGGAAACAAGGAATAATATTTAAAGCGTGAAATGGAAAGCCATATATGTTTTAAGGAAAATAAATATGTTAGGCCATTGAGATGGTCTACTTTGTTACTTTTGTAGTAATATGCAAAACTGCAGTATGCCGACCTGGTCTTCTAGCTTTTCTTTAAGAAAATTATACGCTGATTTTGAAACGTGATCTTGAGAGAATAAATGCTTCCATTTTTTTTTTGCTTTGTCTTCCAACATCAAAATTGATTGCTGGACCAGCAGCCCAAAATCTGCAAGGTCATTTGGCTTTGTTTCCTGCTTGTTCACCACCACCGATATTAAAGGCATGAGTATCCTGGTGATAAGTGTTCCAGAGATTACTTTTTTTCTAAGTAGAACTTAGTGTTTTCAGAGTTTGACTTCGTAAAAGAAAGCAGATGTATTGTACTGTATTTCCTACAGCAATCTAAAAGTAAATCCCATAAATTAAACACACTGCATATTGTAGCTTGTAGAAGTTAAACAGCAGTTTGCTGAAGTTAGCCAACATCTTCCTAACATTTGGAGTACGACTGGTTCGGAGAGTGGCTTTTAGTGAAATAAAATTTTACGTAATATTGCCTTTCTAAAAATTTCAAGCTGTACTAGTATTACTTTTTCTCTTGTTTTGCAGCTTATTTCGACTCTATAAATTGTATGAATATATCTTCCACAGTCCTAGAGAGGAACATGTGATAAGTAATGAGGTAAATCATTTATATAGATGGAATTCATTATGTAGAGTTATTTAATGAATGAACTCTGGCATATGTTTTGTATTGCTCAAAGCAACTTCATGTCAACATTACTTCATTACTAACGTAAAATGGCTGATTAAAGAATATAAGTTAGATATTTTGATCCTCAAATTCAAAATTAATTTTGAATTTCAAAAAAGTGTAAATGCAGTCCTTGGTTAAAACGTTGTGTTAAATCAGCAAAAATTTTGTGTATGTATATTTAAGTTAGTGCCTGTCATTTGAATTAGTGATGCATGAGTCTGACTCTATGTTATAATCAGCAATCAAAATCAGGAACGATTGTGTACCAAGCATGAGTCTGACCACAGTCCTGATATTTATGTATCCACAATTAATTCATATTTATTTATCCATCCACATTGGTCACCAATAGCTAAATATACCCATCATAAAGAAACAAGCTGGCTAGAAATCCTACATTTTGAAAATAGTGTTAACAGTGAATTGACTTGACTCTAAACTTTGTCATATTTTATAGCTTCTTTGTGAAAAAATGCATAGAAAAATGTGTTGACTCAGGATGTGGTCTTAAATCAAACAGACAGGTTCAGTTCATCAAATGCACCTTCCTTTAGTCTGATAGTGCGTTTTGATGATATATCTTACCATACATCAGAAAGAATCTACATTTGTAATTTAGGAGACAAGTGGTTGCTCTGAGAGGTATGGTAGTGTAATTTCTTTTTTGGCACATATTTTAGCTTTTCGGTTCATAGCAAAGTTAAAGTTAATGCATCGGAAAATGTTTTTTTACACATTAAGCCAGTGGATTGGGTCTATGAGCAATGTGGTATAATTTCTTCTGGTGTCACTTTTAAAATAGCTTTGTTTGACGTGTGAGTTATTCTGAGGTTAGTTGTAAAGTGACTTAAAATTCTAGCTCTTCTGAAATCATCAGCAAAACTCAGTGAGCAAGTAGAGCAGGACTTCTTCATTGTACTGCTAAGGTTGTTTAGTTTTGTTTTTTTCATATTAGCTAAAAAGATCAGTGGTTGGCTAGAGCTTTCCAGTTGATAAAAAGATTTTTAATGAGGCTTTGATTACATAATTTCTTTAGTAAATCTGCGCAGTTTGAAAGTACCACCTCTGATGAAGGTAGAGCTTCCGCTGTGGAAAAGCAGAAATGTGTTTCTGTGAAGGATTTTGGTGGTAATCCATAAAGGAAGAAGCACAATTCAAATATAACTGTTACAAAAACTTTCATGACAATTTTTAGCTGCTGCTCTCTTCCAGTTGTTTGGGTTTTTTTGTTGGTTTTTTTTTTACCTATGCATTAGTTTGGTTTAAACTGTTTTGTATTTTGAGTCCAATGGTGGAGACTCTCTTAATTTGTCAAACCACCATGCAATATCCAAAATGACCAGTTCTTGTATTTGTATAGAGTTTATTTTGATATAGGGTGAATATTGTTCTTCAACAAGTTACAGTTTAGCACTTCAAAGCTACACAAATTTATACAAATTTATGGCATTATCTGCTCTTGTTTAATATGCTGAAATGTGATGATTGGTGTACTCAGCATAGACTTAAAGCTCTCTTTCTATAGAGATGCTTATCCATAAAAAAGGAGAGTGTTATCTTCTACATTTGCAGCCCCTTAGATGAAGAGGTCACCTGACAAGTTAGAGGGGCAGATGTTGTTTGATGCATATGGCTACAGCAGGAGCACGCCTGGAGTCATGTGCTCCGCAGTGCATGTGCTCAGCAAGCAGAAGGGACTGGAGATTTGTCTGGGAAATCTGTGTGCTTAAAGTAGATGATAAATCTGTGATGAAAGGTTGACCGTTGTCTTACTACGTAGATCACCATCTTGGAATAAATAAATAAAAATAAAGCCTCTGTAGACATACCATGGCAAATAGTTTGATGTTTTGTAACTCCTAAACTCACTGCTGCTAACATCTGAACAGTTTTCCATTACCTTCAGCAATGAAAACTGTTATTTTGGAATGAGAGACAGTAAATTGTAACAACCATATTTGCCCAGATCACAAGTACCATAGTATTCTTAAAGCTTAGTCATTATTACCTTATTTTGCAAATGAAGACTTGGAGACAAGTCAACAAAGATTTGCTCAACTGGGATGGCTTGCTTTAGCAATTTGTGTTCCATGTGTGCTGAATGTATTGCCTACTGAATAAAAGTCCACTAGCCTAATAAGAAGACCTGCATCTTTATAAGAGATTCAGCTACAACAAATAAAAGCAATCCTTAGTGTTGCAATGAATATCCTTTCATGGAAGCCCTGGTATGTGTTTTCCAGATAAATCTTGTAGCAATGGATTATACGCCCATTGAATTTTATTTTTTCTCTGGTGTGGGCAATTATACAGCGTTGTCAATCAGATTTCCTTTTTGATCTTTCACTGCATTTATTTCCAAATGACCCTGTCATTTCCTGTGTAGAATAAAATCAGACAAGAAAAGGGAAATGACTCAAAACTGAGTTAGATTATGCATACAATATCTATGGGCTTGCCACTTAACAAAATCTAAGTTACTTAAATATGGCACATAATTAGTGGAGCTTCACAGTCTCATTAATATTCTGAGTTTGATGCAGCTAGCATAATAAAGCCCAACTTTGTGAAATATAGACAGTATTTAAATCTTTATAAAAAAAAAAAGGAACAAATGACTGACTAATTTAAATATATTTCTGCATCGGCTAAAGCCTTTAAATCAAACTGCCTGAGGTGATCATACTGCCTAGGAAAAAAAAAGGTTAATACTGAAAGAAATGAAAGCTTACTTAGATGATAAAACACACATCATAAATCTAACCTAGTTTGGCAGTCTTTAAAATTTAAAATTGCATTTCCAGCTATCAAATCCCTTACTTCTCCTTCACTCCAGATCTACAAAGACCTATATATTACATATGCACAAATACCAGTTAGAAAACACAATGGTACAAGCATATAATAAGATGCGTTAAGATTGCCAAGTACATTCATTGCTTTTTTTGTTTGTTTGCTGTGTTACTATTATGAGCAGTTCCCTACATTTAAATGGACAACAGAAGAAACAGAGCTTTAGCGAGACTGTGACCATAACCAAATTAAAATGCATGCAGGACTCACATACCGTACATCTTAAAGAATGCTATTTTTAAAAATAATGTTTCTACCTTTTATCCCTTCTGGAGGTTTTGCCCTCTAGCTGTGATTTTAGTGCTTTTATATTAGCCTGCAAATTCAAAGAAAACAAACAGAGTACAGACTAAATCTTGATGTGCAGGGATTCAATGGAGCAACACCCATTAACATGTCAGATCTTATAACAAATGTTTAAATTGTTAATACATGAATTTTGTAGAAGTTTTTATTATTTCCTATTTTCAGCTAGTTTATTTTGCTTTGATAGGGTGAGGCATTGCTGCCCTGTTTTTTCTTTTTCTTTTTCCTTTTTTTTTTTCTTTTTTTTTTTTTTTCCAGATTTACAAATTGTATCTTATACTGCAGTTCATGTTTTTTTGCTGCTCTCCATTGTGTATTTTTGGATGGAATGAGGCTAAGGTCTTCTGGGATTATGTCTGCTTTGAAACATTTCCTAATAAAAATAATGTGGTTGGTAAATCTAGTTTTATTCCTGGCTGCTTTAGCCAGCCTGATGGAGTAATCTGCTATTTTATGGCCCAGATGACTAGCTAAGTTTGACTTCTTGAAGTAGTAGTGTACAATGTAATTTTCTTTAGAGATGTCATAGCGGGTCAGGTTGCAATAAAAATATCGAAGATTAAGTTTAATGGCAGTGTAGACTCAGTATTATAGCAGTCACTAAGTATCATCCCCTGTGCTTACAGCTCCAAAACAGTTTCCATTAATGCTGTCTTTCCATGTACTCTCACTTTCTGAAACATTAAGCTTTTGGAACATGTCTGGTCTTTACACAAATGTGGGTGGGTTTTATTTTGTTTGGTTGATTGGTTGGGATTTTTTATTTTTTTCTTGTTAGTTGATTGATTTTTTTGTTGTTGTTTTGTTACCTTTTGGGTTTTAAGTCTGAACCAAAATCCCTTCCATCAGTAGGAAGAACTATTTGAAACTATATACTATTTGAAAGCAAATTAAGCTTTCTTCACGGCAGAAGTCCTGAAGTCTGGGACTTCACTTTGATATATAAATCTGATTCGGTGTTGCACATTTACTTTGGTTAACCAATCTCTTTTTAAACAGATTTGCTCAGTGATTCTTGAGAACTCCATTTTAAGGATGTGTGAAACCAGAACATTTCTATGAGTATCAGTTCACGCTAGAGAGACCTATTCCCCAGCTAATAGAGTGCGTGCTTTTTAAAGCTTAAAGGTTTCAAATATTTGTAATGCTTAAAAACCACAAGTTGATTTACTGTAGCTTTGTTTTGTAAATATTAGCATAGCAAAGATATCAAGACTAGTTCAAAGGAAATAAGAGCATACTACTGGAAAGGACCTCTGCGATTTTCAGATCTATTGCTGCCTTCTCATTAGGTAAACATATATAATCCTCTTCAGAAATGTGTCTAACTCAAGCTTAAGAAGTTAACTTTTTTGTCTCTGCTGTTACTGTTAGAAAACTGCTCTGGAGCCTGATGGCTGTGATGATTCCAAAACTTTTAATTTCCAGTCTAAATGTATTCACAGCAGGCTTATATGCACTTATCCATGTGCCAATTTGTGCCAGTATTGACCTTTAGATCTTGTTCGGTTCACAGTGTTTATTTTTCTAGCATATAAAGAGACAGCAATCTTATTGTCAGCCTTCATTTAGCTAAATTTGAAAAGCCAGTCTTCCCCAATCTCTGCTTTTAAGATGTTTGGTTTTTTTTTTCTATATGCATTCTTACATACACAGCAGCCTTTAGTCATCCTGTTGGTCATTTTCTGTAACTGTTGCACTTTAAATTAGTTTTGTTTGAGCATAAGTGACCAAACTGCACGTAGTATTGTAGCTGAGATAAAAGCAAGACCCTGTACAATGATAATACCGCTTTCTTTTTCTCTTTGGGAATAATCTACATGTGTCCTAGAGTCAGTCACACATTTCATAACTGTATCATGTGGTTCTCTTGTCGTAGATCTGCTGTTCTGCTTTTCTTTTATCACTGTGTTTTCCAGCTGAGGTACTCTCAGTGCACTGCAGATTTTTAAAAATTGTGCCCCACCAATGTCACCTCACAATTTCTCATTAAATGCAAGAGTGAATATTCTTCAAGGTCATTCAGTCCCATCTGTATGATATTCCTTGCCTCCCATGCAGTCATCGTGTCTCACACATTCTTTTTGTCTAGAAAATAGATTATCATATTAAGTAAACTCTGAAATTAGTCTGGCATCACGTATCTTTGATAAACCAAAGTTGTGTGATATCCCATTTTTCTTTAATTTTCATGTCCTTATTTATTTTTTCTTTCAAAAATTGTTCCTCAAGCCTTTACTACTGTGAAGATCAAAACTACAGCTTCAGGAGTAGGTTTATTATTTTACGATTATGAATGTTTAAAACTAGCAAACTGGTACTTGGGCTTTTGATGTCTGAGGGAAAATTTTTGATGTCCGCTAAAGAAGTGTGTCATACCAGAGACCTGAAATAAGCAGCTGGAGAGCCAGTGGTTTATGGTGGCAAAAATAACTGAGATTTGGTCCTTTGATCTTGAATTTTGCTATGGCTATAACCAGAGGGATCTTGAAGGACTTGTGATTACACTGAACGAAAAGTGAAGTCTGTTGGGATTGTGTGCATTATTACTTGAAATATTTTAAGCGTATCTTGCACATTAGAAACCTCTCTTGTTTTACAATGACTGAATTTGCTCTACTCAGTTACCAGTTCTGAAGATATATTGACCTTTAAGAGTTATGTTTTTGTCTAGGTCACATGCTGATGGTCTTCTACAGTGTTTTGGTAGCTGAACTGTGCTGACTTGAAGCCAGGAGCAGCTCCAGAGCTGGTGGAATTTATAACCAGGTGTAGAGTCTCTTTGCAAATCTTGCTTTAGAGAATGATGAACAAAAGGCTTTAAAAATTTTTTTTCTTAGGAAACATCAAATACAAAACAAGCATGCTTTCTAATTCAGTACCATGCAGGAACTCATCATAGTAAAAATTCAGGCAGGAAAAATGCAGAGTAGATGTTGTAGGCTACCCCTTCAGTGCGCAGAGCACTGTCATTTTGACAAGCCAGTGTTAAAACAAATACCTCTTTTTGAGTACTTGTAAAGTTTTATTTTGGTGGATCTATTCATATACACAGAGTTAAACTGAGAATTGACTGAGGTCATGCTGCTTGTCACTCTGAAGGATGAAAAGCTGAAGACACCAGAGCAAATACGTATATATGGATGTGAGGCTTATCATCGTTTTTGTTTCAGTTGTATAGTTGTCAAAGCATTGCATTTTTTATTGTATGATGTTAAATAGGAGAGAGAGGAAAAAACCTTAAATTGCTGATGCTGAAATGTTTCTGGAACAGTGCAGGAATTTACATATACACAGATGTGCTGCGTGGCTTTTTTAATTATTTAGAAAGTGACTTGATTTCTCTGTGTATGTGGGTATTAATATGCGTGGTTCCGATAACAGCAATAATGGTTTATTTATTTGTTGGAATGCAGGCCAAGTAGGAATTGTTGGCTTTGATTTGAAAGATAGAACAGCATTAAGAGCAAGTTTTTTGGTATTTTTTTTTCCCTATCAGAGTGTTTTAAGATCCAGAACACTAAGTGCTGCATTGTAGGACTATAACATGTTAAAAAGTATTTATAGATGAGTATTTTTATTTATGTAAATGTAAGGCAATGAGATTGGCTGAAGTGCAGACTTGGGTAAATTTTAAAGTTCTTGAGCAAAGTACTTGAGGACGGACAGGTATCATTTGGATACTTGCATGTCCAGAGTGAAGACATTGGTGACTGGTTTGCTGGAGCAGTTTCCCATATTTCCCAATTTTCCAGCAGGTGAGTAGAAATCCATGAGCTTACGCTGCAGGACACAACTATTTTTGCACTCTCTACTTTCATCTCCAGGTTTTCATCATCTTAAAGATTAAATTGTGTTCTTAAAAGTATCTGTGGAATGGACAAGTAATGTAATATTTCATGGGAATGTATCCCCATGGGTGAATCTGTATGTATCAAATGCATACATCTTGTGACCTTATGTTATGAATAAAATTTTGACGTTATTGGTATAAATAAATAGCGTGGCATTTCCTTACTGTGATGATTTATAATCAATATACATTTTAATAACTTTTTATACTTTTGGTTGGTTTTATGTGAATATGAATGTATTCAACAGATAAGTTTTAAAGATGCTTGAAGTTCCTTTTATACAAAACTTTCTGGTGCATTTTAAGTCTTCTACTTTCACCTTCAATTTTATAACTTGTCTTAAGATGCAATATGAAGAATTTTAACTAAACATTGATTCCAATGCATTTGAATATTTAATTTGTAAAATGTTATTTCAATTTCCTATAAATATGCTACTCTCAGCAAAACGCAGTGTTACTAATTAGAAAGCTGAGTTTTATAGGCTGTGTGGTTCATATGTGAGGTAACTTATATTGCTACTTAGGCTTACATTTAATAAACCTCAGCTAGGAAAATGTTTAAGTATCAAAGAAAAGATAATAAATAAAATGAGGGCATAGAATATTAATGTGAACTCTGCCTTTATTTTTTTAAAGCATTCAAAGTTAAATAGTGCTGGTCTGTTAACAATCTTGGGCTATTTGGCAAGTCTTTAAACTTACTCAATAATCAAAACATAAAAGGACAATGGAAACTTTTTACAATAAAAGAAAAAAAGGAGTTGAGTACAGAAACCAAACAAATTATTCTCTGCTTTTTCTTGGTAAGGAGGTGAACTTTATAGGAAGGGCAGCAAGCTCTGAGTTAGGGTTGCCTTTTCCTGTCTTTGTTATAAATTACATCTGTCTGTGCAGAATCCTCTCCAGTTACTTTGTATTTTGTGGTTACGGGGGAGGCATGCGGGTGCATGGGGGATGGAGCCGAGAAAGATAGATTAGGGGGAGCCTTCTTTTTTTAGTTTTTTTTTTTCCTCTTACAAACTGGCACTTTACATTAATCTGCCTAGTTTACTGAATATACAGATAGATAAAATTCCCGAGATCCCAGCTGTGTAAATAGAACATTAACAAAACGACTGTTTTCTTCAACATATGTATTTATTTGTTGTTTGTAACACATGAGACTTTTGGAAGACTTCTGGCACCACTTAGGTTCAGAGTAATCAATCAGAATGTTTTCATTAGGGTTCAAATGGGGAAGACAATCGGCAAAGAGACAGACTTTATTCAAAGTAATGCCTGATTTTTTCACAAAGGGTCAAATACACTGCAACATCATCATAGGGCACCAGAAATATGAAAAGAAACTGCCAAATGGTTCAGGAGAGAGAGCCATATGCCTTGGCTAAGAGCTCTCCTCCTGTTCTTTCCTTGTACCTGCTGAGCACCTGAAGGGAAAATGTAAACCTGAGCGTAGTCACAAGTCTGAGCAGAGGTAGCCCATGTGCAGCTATGCAGAGAAGAGTCAAAGGGGCCACAAGCAATGACAGGGACCACGACCGAGTTCCTCTATTGGTTTTGTTTTTTGTCATGTGAAACTGAAACAGGACTCACAAATAGGTTGCTAATGACAGGGGAGAGAGAGATGTTTTGACATTCTGTTCCTCTTCTGCAGTAGGGGCTGATGACCAACTCCAGCCCATTGAGTTTCACTGTCTCTTGTTCCACTGTTTTAGAAAACAGGTTCTTAATGATAACTGTAATCAGCATTAACTTAACTTCCTGTTTTATAGGTCTCCTACCGATCACTGTTTTCTTATAGAAGCTAAGACATCATTATGTACTTCCAGCTACTGCACTCAGTAAAACAGCAGTGGACAGGTAGACTACACTGTATGTCCTCAGGGTGTCTTGGAAAGACAGCAGCTGGAATCTTTAAGAGTGTTTTACGATTAAGAGTATGATCTGGAGTATTTTATGCTCTGGTTTCCCATTGCACTGTTGGAAATTCAGTAGCCAAGTAATCTTGAGTATCCTCTTGACTAACTTAAAACAGCTGAGGAGGAATGTTTAACCGTTTATACCTGGTTTTTGCTTTCCCTTACTTACAAAAATGGGCAGCATCTCTACTTGACCTTAATCACAGAATCACAGAATGGCCAAGGTTGTAAGGGACCTCAAGGATCATGAATCTCTAAGCCCCCTGCCACATGCAAGGCCACCAACCTCCCCAGGTCCTCCAGGTTCCTCAGGTCCCCATCCAGCCTGGCCTTGAACACCTCCAGGGATGGGGCATCCACAAGCTCTCTGGGCAGCCCGTTCCAGCACCTCACCACCCTCTCTGTAAAGAATTTCCCCCTGACATCCAACCTAAATCTTCCCTCCTTCAACTTAAAACAATTTTCCCTCGTCCTGCTGTTATCTACCCTTTCAAAGAGTTGACTCCCCTCCTGTTTGTAGGCTCCCTTTAGGTACTGAAAGGCTGCAGTGATGCAGCATTCTTTTCTCCAGGCTGAACAAGCCCAGCTTCCTCAGCCTATCTTCATATGGGAGGTGCTCCAGTACCCTAATGACTCCGTGGCTTTCCTCTGGACCCTCTCCAACAGCTCTGTCTTTCTTGTACCAAGGGTTCCAGACCTGGAGACAGTACTCCAGATGGGGCCTCACAAGAGCAGAGTAGAGAGGAACAGTCACCTCTCTGTCCCTGCTGGCCGTCCCTTTTCTGATGGAGACATTAGAAGATGCAAAGGTGGTATCTCTATTAATTTACTTTTTATTATTATTATTTATTTTTCACACTGATTTCACCCTCAAAATCTGTCTCAGACTGCAGAGCCCATGCCAGAGCTTGCAGAAGTTCTTCAGGGCTATGCTACAGGTGATGCTGAATCCGGGATAAAACCCAAAAAAATATGGATGATGTTTTCAGCTGAAATGTTAGCATTTTTTGTTCTTTTTTTTTTTTTTTCCTGATAAATGGTCCTTCTGATCTTTTTGATTTCTTCTATAGGAAGGTCTAGCCATATTATAAAAACATCTTACAGAAAATATTGTTATTACTTTCAAAACAGAGGGCATTTTTCAAGTATTGCATGCTAATGCTCTGTTTTCTTCAAGTTAGAATCTGTGTACTTGATAAAACTTTTATTGTTGCTCTGTTCTATTAAGCTAACACTACACAAGTAACAATATCTTCTTTGCAATTGCTCAGTAGTTTATTTTGACATTATATATCAGATTTGGCTTGTGAAAACAGTCTAAGGCAATGGCATAGATTCTAAGTGATAAAGATGAATGTTGCATGCTTCATTTACAGCAGGGCTTTCCAAATATGGTCTCAGAGTTGTGAAAACATCCTGTGCTTGAGAAGGCTTCAATTTTGACATGATCAAGGCTGTGGGGGAAATTTCAGACGCTAACATTCAGGAATTCGGGTCTATATCCTTTAAATTCACTGAATGTTGTGTGATGTGAATAAAGATACTTTGCAACCAATTGCGATTCTGTAAACTCCATATATTGCTCTTGTTTTAATAAAATTGAGGAATGATAGGAGTGTTCTGTAGAATTTATTATGGTTTGAATATCTGCCTAACATTCTCTCAGAGTTTTTCTTTGTGTTCATTTTGTATTCATGGCATCCATTTATCATTTTCATCGCTATCTGTTGTACATTTAGGACTCGTAATGATTTTCTTTTGTTCTAAGGAAGATAGTTTGCCAGCTTTTTGTGCTCTCCAGGAGTTAGGATGAAGCTGAAGATTTACATTTGGAGAAATGTTAAATTACCTGTAACGATCATATTTCAAATGAGTACTTAAAGATTTTACCCTCACTTAAGCTTGTTGCTGGAGACTTTTATCAA